AGCAAGTCAAGTGAGGTGCAACTGTCACTATCTGTGTCCCTTTTCCATGTGTTGTATTGGGGTCCGGTGTCCTTGGCTACACATGACAAATGGTTCTAGAGCCCAGGCGGGTGGGCTAGCCGTATAGTCCAAGTCAAGGCCAGGAGACCACATGACAGGTAAGGCACTTCTTACACGAAAAGTATGAGGATCTGCATGGGACAAAAGTTCAAGGGTGGCTGAGCCAAGAGGCCACGTGCAGCCAGTAAATCTCAATGTCAAGTGCTTTTCTGACCTCAGGGAAAAGCAAGTGGGGAGAAGTGAGGCAGCTGAGGAGGAATGGTCTTTTCAGCCTTCTGGATTTAATATTCAAGTGAGAACTGGGGTGAAGAGTAAGAACTTAGTATGGGCTTCCTTGCTGGGCCTGCCGCAGCCCAGGGAAGGAGTCTTTTGGCTTTCGAGGGATCTGACAATGGCCCAGTTTTCCATCGTGCGGAGCAGACTGGGGGCTGAGAGGGCGGTGGGAGGGGACGCACAGGCCCTGGGCGCGCCCTCCACTGGAGGAACCGCGCCCACGGGGGTCAGGAACGGAGGTTGGTTCACTGGTGACACTGAGGCCTGGGGCAGGGGAGGGAGTTGTGTCAAGCCTGTGAAGGAAATCCCCCAGCAGTGGGGGGCGGCAAGCCACGTCAAAGGTAGAAAGGCACAGGGGACTAGCATTTTCTGTTTGGGAAATCCTGGGAGGGGTGCACTCTGTCCCTGCTTCTCACTGAAGGGACAGAACAAGGGTCAGAGGGCACTGGGGAAGAAGGTCCTCCAGAGAAAACCCAGCAGCACACACCCTGGAACACCGAGCCCAGGCTGCAGGGCTTTCAGGGTCCGACGAATTCGAGTCAAGAGGAGAATCTGCCAAGGAGGCCCAAATACGGATGAATTTTGGTTTCTGAAATACTGGTAAATTCAGCCTTGGGACAGAAATGGAGAAAGCTCTCAGCAACAATCTGGTGGCCCAGACACACACATGGTTAGAACTGACTAGAAGCGGCTCTCCGGGCCCAGCCTGCTCCCCTTTCCTCCAGAACTTCCCCTACCTCCAAGAGGAACACATGAAACCTAATAATAGTGCAGCCATCAGAGCCTGGGTGGTAAAAATAACTTCCTCCTCCTGAACTCCAGCAGGGAATGCGTAGCCTGGGGACCTCCCGCCCGTGGGCACGGCCCTCCTGTCCTGACACTGCCATCCCCTGGGCTACCCCACACCAGAGCCAGACGTGTGGAGACACTGGCTGAGGTAGATCAGCATCTGCTCTCCTGCTCTCGGGGGACGCTGCTGACCTGGCCTCTCGAACTTGCAGGTGTCTGGGGGGACTTTCACAGACAGCATGGCACTTTGGGAACAGGAGAGAGGGTTTAAGACCAAAGAAGACAGCCAAGGTGGCCACTTCAGGACGAGCCAACCCAACAAGCTCACAGGATGAAGTAGAACGGAGTGCTTTCTGCCTCTGGCAACGTGCCGTGAGCCAGCTTGCCGGAGCCTTGGCTCTGCTCTGAAATAAACGTGCCGGGATGCCAGTTGGGTGAGAAAGCACACCGCCCCTCCCCTCAAATTGTTCCTGAAGCCCAGCTGGTGAGATGTTAGCCTTACTCGTGGGCTCAGGGGTTTCTACACAGCAGAAAGGGTTTTACTCTCATCACTAAACAACCGTGTCCTCTAGGGACAGCCAAAGTCAGCCTGGCCACTGGGCTGGTGGCACCACCTCAGGGAACCCCACGGCGCCAGCTTGCAAGAGACTTAGAGAACATGAAGCCATGTGGTCGCTGGCAACGAACCCCTAGAACACCCGTCACACTGGCAGGCAGGCTGCCCTCCCACCTTCCCGGCCAGCGGGACCCGCAAGTCCCACAGGCTTGCTGGGGAGCAGCCTCCCGCAGAAGCAGGGCTGGATGTCCGGGACACAGCCTGCAGAGGACAGAGAAGGGTAGCAAGGTGGATGGAGGCCCCGCACTGAACGCCCTCTTCATCAACAGTCACCAGGCAAGGTAGGGGCACTGACCCAACTGGAGCCACGGCAGGGATGCTGACCGAAATGGCTCAGGGCTTTGGGATCAACTCTGTCTGGCTGACACCCAGCCACCCTTTCACCAACATTCTGCTTTGCAAACCAGAGAAATGTCAGAGAAGGATGGGAGAAATGCATATTTTCAAAAATGCTGTCCCACCTCCAAACGGTTTTCAGAAGCTGAGGGCACTTCTCCCCATTTCTGCAACCTTATCCTGGACAGAAAGCTGAGGGTGTGCAATGGTGTTAGGAAACAAACCCCTCTGTCACTGGAAATTACAATTTCTCTCTGATGCAAATGACCCAGAGGAGAGCTGCCTTGATGAAAATACCCATTTCCCCCTTTCTGGATAATAATCCAAAGTTGGGCTTCTACGGTGATGTCAGAGAGAGGACCAGCACATCGAAGGACCCTAATGTTTCCGTGCCCACACCCTCAGCACAGAGCTCAGGAGCCCCTGTGGGGACCTCTGAAAGCCCAACTCCCGTTACAAGGCACCACAGGACCTGGAAGCCTTGCCTCTGGGTGGAGGAGAGGGTTAAGAATACGTGAGGGGTGGGACAGAATCCTCCAGTCAGCAAAGCTGTGTCTGCGCACCTAACTAGCAGAGTGACTGAGACAGTCCTGGTTTCCCACAGTCTAACACGCTGTAGGTGTGCTCAACAAACATCAGTGATGACAATGACAATTCCAAAGGACACTCAGCAAGTGTGGCCAGTGGGTGAGTGGCCCAGGTGACCCTCCCAGGTGGGGGCCTGGTGTTCCTGCAGGGAGCTATGCTGGCCCCCGACAAGGCTGCCTCTGTCTGGGGACTGGGGCCAGCAAACGCCAGGCTGGTCTGTTGACTGTTGAATCGGTTCTGAATGCTGGTGAATGGCTGGAGAGCAACTGCAGTCGGCGCTGCTGACGAAAGGCCTAGGTCGACCGTCCCTGCACCTCAGTCGCTGTTCCCTTTCCGGAAGAGCCTGCTGCTCAGGACCTCTGCTCTGTGCTCCAGAGTGGGAAGACTGGTCCTCCTTCAGCACTTCCCCAACAGAGCAAGAGCAGGCCAGTCTCCAACCCAGGACCAGCCACTGATAAGCTGCCTTGAGTCATGGGACTCAACACAGTTAACACCATCCTTCTGGGCCGAGTCATGAAGTCCCGAAGCCAAACGCCTTGGCATTTACAGCGGGCAGGGCTGCTGCCGGGCCTCGAGATGGTGCATGCCAAGTTGGAATCATACATCTCATCAGTTAGTCAGCACCTAGGAGATTATGATCCAAGGGGGCGGGTCTCTCGTCTTCTTGCCCATCCACACGGGACCACGGGGGGGCCTGCTACGAGCCCCAGGCAAGGGCTCCTTGGCACGAGGCTTCTAGACTCTGACAGGTCCTGGGGCCAGACGCTGGGTGTTGGATGGCCAGGACTGCAACTTTAATTCCCTCTCAGTGTAAAAACCAGACACAGAGAAACTGCACAATATGGTACAAGAAGTAAAAGAAGAAAGCAGCAGCCATGGAGGAAGAGAAAGGGGAAGTAAGCTGAATGATAACCACGAGAACCTGGGCATCTAGAAAACCCAACACGACAGAGGTGAGGACAGGACAGGAGGTGGCTTGAGGGAGAGAAAGAGAAAGATTTTTGGTTTTATTGAGAATGGTTTATGGAAGAATAAGAAGAGAAAGCCTAGAAATAAGGAAAAGCAAAGCCCCGTTTAAAGACAGGCTCCTGCTGTCTGAGATGGGATGTCACAAGCAG